AATGTCCTCTTTTCTTTTAAAAAAATTCTGCCCCCCAGCTTCAATGTTCTCTTTTTATAACGCATGTATCCCAGCAGGCCTAAAGGAAGACCTGACTAAGAGGTGCAGAAGTATTAATCGATAATCATTCACATGTTTTATCTTAGACTGTAGTCAAAAGATGAGAATAGCTCTGAAACCAGGCACCGGAATCTGAGTCTTCTGCTCCCACCAGTGCCCAGAGCACTGATTTGAAGGCCCTGTTCCTCTTGGCCCTCTCCACAGCGTACCCTGACACGTGGCTAGCTGTCAAGGGCCTCAGGATCCACAGCACAAGTGGAGAGACCTCTCTGCACCTGGCTGACCTTCTTCAGATGTGGCAAATTGCTGGGTTTCGTCCACCTCTGTTGTGGTTTAGCCTGGCTGGATGCCATGTGCCCACCAAAGCTGCTCTGTCACTGCCCCTCCTCATGTGGACAGGGGAGAAAAAATACAACAAAAGGCTCGGGGGTCGAGATAATGGCAGGGAGAGACTCACCAATTACTGTCATGGGCAAAACAGACTCGACTCAGGGAAATTAGTTTAATTTATCACCAATCAAATCGGAGCAGGGTAATGAGAAATAAAACCACCTTAAAACACCTTCACCTACCCCTCCCTTCTTCCTGGGCTCAACTTCACTCCCGATTTTCTCTACCTCCTCCCACTGAGCAGCACAGGGGGACGGGGAATGGGGGTTACGGTCAGTTCATCACATGTTGTCTTTGCTGCTCCTTCCTGCTCACACCCTTCCCCTGCTCCAGCATGAGGTCCTTCTCATGGGAGACAGTTCTCCATGAACCTCACATGGTCTCACTCCTCTCTGCTGGTGCAATTGCCGTTATGCAGGGGTTTTTTCCCTTTGTAACTGTGGTATCCCAGAGGAGCTACCACCATCCGTGACGGGCTCGGCCTGGCCAGCAGCAGGTCCATCTTGGAGCCAGCTAGCATTGGCTCTATCGGACGTGGGGGAATCTTTCGGGAGCTTCTCACAGAAGCCACCCCTGTAGCCACCCCCTACTACCAAAACCTTGCCAAGAAAACCAAGTACAACCTCCCAGGGAATGTCTGAAGCTCAGGACAAAAGTGACCACCAGCAATATCAGATACACAGAACTTCTCATCCGATTTCTTACACGAGGCAAAGCCCAGCTTCAGTACTTTGCCTTGCTCACCTAACAGTACTCACGATCCCTTACTGTCACTGGATGGAGACTGACAGCATCGAAGCAGGCAACAAACAGTACTCTGTGTTGTACTCCGAGGTCTTTGGAGCAACCTGCATCTTCCATCAGCTGCCTAAGGATCGGTGGTTATACTGGGCCAGCTGAAAAGGACCTTTGCCGCAGATCAAGCGTCTCTACAGACTCTGATCACTTTCTTTTGTGTTCTTGTTTTCTTTTAAACATCAGATTTTTGATACTTCAATTGAAATATAAAAACAGGTATGCTATCAGCCTTTAAAAGTAAAAATATAACACACAGAAAACAAAAATCTCCTCAAATACTACAATTTTCACAACACAGTTCAACAGTATTCTCTGTCTACCTAGTTACTGAAAATGGGACTGGAGAGCACAGTAAGAACTCAGGAACATCTGGCTAGATTCATTAAATCCCCATCCTTCATAAGGAGAACTTATTCTTACGTACTTCAAATTTCAAATTTCCCAATATCGAATCCTCTCAGTCACAGTGTGAACTTGGTAACGTATTTCAAAAGCACGCTCCTCTGACCTTCAAAGAAATAATTCAGCTCATGTACTGTACGTATTCACATATCACCATATATGATCAGTCTATAGCATACAGACTAGCATATTTGCTTATGTGCATATTTGCAAATACAGCATGTATCGTCTCTGAAACTACTATGGACACTGCAGTGTATTACGAGCCTTAGACTTGGCCTATTTGCAAAAAACTCGGAAAGTTATGCCAAGGCAAAGCAGAAAACTTGGACTACTCTCCTCTTCAGGTCTAGTTAACAGCATTGTTTTTAGAGAACAAAAGAACAAAGCATAAATATTTAATTCTCATGACATGCAAACACTGTATTGCTTTCCTGTTGGTATGGATAACACTCCTGTTCACATTTTTATTTGCTATCCAATTAGTAGATTAACGTAAGTACAACTTGCCACCTCTGCACTTTAGGAGACAGTGGAGATGAGACAGGCATTTCTCAGTTTTAGCAAGGGTGGGAATACTCTGGGTCAAGGGAGAAGCACATGTGCATTATTTTTCTCAAAAAGTCAGGTCACAGAGCACAGTTCAGCTGCTCACTGGGACAAAAACCACATTATTTTCAAGACTTCAAATCAGCAACACAATTCTTAAAACTAATTTTATTCTTACGGTATTATTTTATAAATAAATAATGTGAATTAGTATTTAATTGTTTGAACCTGAGATTTTAATTTTTCACCTATCAGTATGGGAAATCTCTTGGCAGCTCTAGAGGCTATGTGAAAATTAATTTTTTTCTTTAATTATAAATTGGTTTTGCTGTAATAGCGGAGGCTTTAATTGCAATATTTTAATTAACTGCTTGAAGCAACACAATGCCAGCTTTTTGCTGGAGACTAGCTTATCTACGAGTCTGGAGTTTCACATTTACTCAGCTCCTGTGCTGAAGACACAGACTGCTATGTAACCAGTCATAACTGCTGCTTCTACCTGGCTAATGGCATGTAAAAAGACAAACAGCGAGTGCATTCAACTACGCACCTTAGACCACGTTAATAATTTGGGCAGTAAAAACGGGTGGTTAGGACTGGTGAAAAATAATTAGAGTGAGTGAAAGAAAGATAGTAGTTGCAGCATCTTGTTCAAAATGTCCTGTGATCTCCACAGATAAACTTCCTCCCTCCTAGCAGCCCTCCCACGAGGAACAAGTGGCAGACAGGGCTACGGGCTGGCTCTCCGACGGACGGCCACACGATGGCAAAAAAATAAGCTCCAGCAAGGAATGCTGCTCTCTTCTTCTCCAGACAGGGTATCAAAATCGAAAGCACTTGAAAGGTTCATAAATAGCATATTAACACTATCAAGATTTCAGGAGTGTGGGGAGGGGGGAAGGGTTGATTATTTTTTAACAGATTAATTTCCACACTTGAACATCTCAGAAACAACATGATCTGTCTCTGAGGCCCTTCCTGATGACACTAACAAATAAAGAAATGGATCCAGAAGTACAGAGGAAACGGAGAACAGCAGAATTTTGTACTTGTAAAACACTATTTATCCAAAAACTCTGAAGCTTTCCAGAAAGAGGGGTCAGGTACATTCTATTACCCTGAAAACATGGGCAAGAATAGCAGCACAGTAACGCTGATCAGCTGCACCTAATATATCCACAGACATCTGCACAGCTGCTTTGAGAACTAGGCTGTAAAACAGTTTATCCGCTATGATTGTGCTGAATAAAATACCCAAGCCACCTAAGCCTTTAAGCCCTAACAACTATGGAAACTGCCTCTGCAATATAACAAAAACATTTATACTTCATTGCGGATCATATCAAAAGAGTTACCTGCAGGGAAACCACATGAGAGCCAGAAGGGGCAAGGAAGTAGTTACAAATGAAAGCTACTGAAATATATGCCTGGGTTAACAAGATTTGTGGGGAAGAACTTTCCATGCATTGCAATAACAGGAAGATATTGTTATTTAAAAAAAAAGCCCTCTTCCTTTCTACTAAACAGTGCCCTCATTGATCAAATAACCTAAGATCGAACAACAGATAACTACAAGGTTACACTGTATTTGACAGTAGATTAATTAAATTACACAAGAACATAGTGATTCATACAACATACCTTGCCTCCAGCACAAAACACTTAGGAAGAAAGGGAGAAGGACAAGTACTTAGTGCAATTATGTAAAAGAGACAGACAAAATGTCATTTCAGAAAACAAGTAATGGCCAGGTCAAGTAACTAGGTGGAGTAATACTTCAAAATGTAAAGGTGGAGCACTGCAGGGTGTTTCTTGCCCTATTTCTCTCACATTCCTGTTCCGTACTGGCTAGTATAATTCATTCTGACTGAAAAAGAAAAGCCTGCCAACTAATCTTAGAAGGCAAAGGAGAGAGATTAACAGAGGAAATGAGTAGGTCTGGGCTTCAAAACCCACGTTCTCCAATTTCCCCTTCTTCTGTCTAAAGTACATAACCAAACTGTTATGAAATCATATCTTGTAGCGGTAAAAAACCATTTTGTTCTTTGAAAATCTCTGACTCAAGAACATGGTCAAAATCGTGCCTGAAAGCTGAAGGGGCTTGTCAGAGTCGGCAGGACAAAAATTTCATGAAAATCAAGAAATTCTCAGCTGGTGGAGACCACTTTAGCTCCTTCAACCCACGTTGCTGTGCTGATCTACACCAGCTGAAAATCCGAACCTGCCTTTGTTCTGTGCTATTTTTAAATAGCTAAACTTCAGCCTTGAGTTCAATTGTCCAATCCTATGACGTGGTCCTGAAAGACAAATACACTGCAAGTAAAAAAGAGCCATCACCAACATGTCCCAGACACTCACCAAATCCTTCATGTGCTGTCAATTCTTCTTAGTGCTATTAAATTACCGACAGCTGTTCCTGAGTCTCTGCTGGGAGCTACCATGATACACAGCAAACCCCCCGAAAGTGGAAGCCTTTCTGCTTTTAACATTCCCTGTTGTTCAGACCACTCATGCCACCTGCATTTCCTCTTTGTCACTTTGGTGGCCTGTAACTTTATCACTCTGTGAGGGCAAGAAGTAACCCCAGCTTTTGTGTCGCATGTTACCAAATCTCTCCTTCCATCATTCACTCTCCCCAAGAAAACGAACTGTAGTATCTCCCCCCATTGAGAAATTCCCTTGGTCTTCATGGTGAGAAAAAATTCCCTGGCAGCACCTAGATCTAGTAAATCATAGAAACCCGAGCTTTGGGAACAAAACTGGGTCTGTCAGGCTGTCAATGTCATCTCTCAGACACTCACCAGGGTGACAATGGCACATTCAGCGGTCAGCTGAGCAGCACTGAACAACGTCCGAACAAAGCGGTAAATCTGTTTCTGCTCCGGGTCGTGTTTGTCATAGTCTGGTGGCACTTCGGATTTCTAAGGAAGAAATACCTCCAAATAGGTGACTGAAACAAAACGAAGCGTACAGGAAGACAGACAAGCTCAGACGAAAGGGAAGAAGCGGCAGATGAACTTACCGAAAGGGGATGAAGGTTTTCATCAAAAATATCTAAGAGCATTCTTCCGTCTGTGTCCCTAAAAAGTGTTAAAACCAAAGCAGTGTCATTATCTGAACACGACAGCACGCAGCTCTCATAGACACAACCGTATCATTAGAACTCCAACACTCCTCATGCTGCCAGGTGCTCAGAAACACTGCAGAAATGTGATTTTTTCAAGCAGAGTTTTTCAATGACCTATTCTGCCATAAGGTTCATGCATAATAGGAAATCCATATTACAAAGTATGCTAAAATTTTCAGCTTTCAATGCCCGAGACACACAGCTTTTGCGCTCTCTACCATGAGGCTTTTTCAGAGACTAAGTGGTACTGCTAGAAACTTCTCATAAAACCAGCCCAGCTTACTTTCCTTTTCTGAACTTGATCATGCGAATCCTTGCAATCTCTTACTTCTTCCTCCTCCTTTACTGTCAACTTCGTGAACATTTACAAATATGCAACATTATCTTTACAGTTATTCTTTAGTTAACAGACATACACCTCACTCTATTTATTTGGAAAACCCTATCCTCCTTATGACTTCTGAAAGCAGAAAGTAGTACATACAAAAAAATTCAGACAAAATAATATTCCTATTCATTGGTTTTATTTGCTATTTCTCTCTCCGATCCCTGTTGCTCAAGATCCAAGTGCAAGTTGATGTCACTTCACAAGCCTAACATCCAGTATGCAATGTAAGATTTTTGCTGTGTGTAATCTTGGCAAGAGCACTAACGATCACAAAAGGGAGTGGTATAACAGTACCAGTTAGAACTGGACACCTTCTGGACAGATGCATCCATATGACCTACTTATTACAATCCCATCTTTATTTATAGCATCCCCTGTACTCTGGTCACAGAGCTCTTGAGAGAAACCACTGAATATGTTTTCTATCTCTACTCAACAGCACGTGTCTCTCGGAGCATGCAAACACGAGTTTTACAGTGGATTCATGTCTACAAAATGTACTTATTAGCAGCCAACATTTAAATCTCAACATCTGAAGGCGAGATTTTTTTCTGCTATAAAGCCTGCTAGCACTGGAAATAAACACTTATTTAAAAAAAAAAAGAGAGAGAGAGAGAAAAGGAGTACCTAAATTAAAACAAAAAAACAGGTTGAGATAATCACTAGAAAATTCTTAATGAGGAAAGACTTTTGGCCAGACTCTTCTACCCCCACATAAAAAGGCTAGTATTGTAATGCAGAAGTAGTCTCACAGGAATCACTGATGCACTACAACGAACTGTGGCCCTTCATAAAGAGAAAACAAAGAATTTCCTATTTTATTTCTTCATGTTGTAGCTGCTCCATGCTATGAAGGCACATTTAATAGCCCTCAAAAAACTATTACACCAAAAAAAAGAGTTGATAGGTTTTTGTCTTCAATAGAACAAATTCACATTGGTATCTTTCAAAAATGAACCATCTGCTAATTGATCTAAGTATTTCTCATGTTTAGTTTGTTGGGGTTTATTTTATTCTGTTTATTGAGGTTTACTTTATTTATTGATTTAGCAAATTTACCAGTACTTGTGCATTCCTCCGAAACCAAGACAGGCATAGTCTTTTACCTCTTGTTGAATAGCTAAGAACAACCAAAGCTGCAGAAAGCCTATCAATATAACAAGAACAGGAGACACTGGGAAAAGAAGGAATGATAACTAGAATGTTACAATCAAATGAAATGTGGGAAACATATGAAGGAATATTCTCTTTCACGTAGAGTTTCTAAAAAAACTGAGATTGGTGAGAGTTTGGAATATTAAGAAGTAATTTAGTTTTAAGCCAACTGTGCAGGATAAAAGGAAGAAATAAATATTGTCTGAAAAACAATTATTCTCTGGCAAAGCAGGTGCTTGACTCATTTTCTGTCAAAATCAACCTTGAGTCTATGTAAGAGCTGCAGTGGTTTCTTACTCCGCACTCCCCATAACGAAACAAAATCTACCACATATGACTACAACTTCCTTTTCGCCTGTAATGGCAGGAAACAGAACATATGCTTTGCTGTTGCTGTTTCAGCAGCAAGTACAACCGAATGCTGTTATCACATTGTCCCTCCGTTCCTAAATCACAGACAACTGAAGACAGGACAGTCATTTCACGTCCCTCATTTCAGAGTTGCTCACTGGCGTACGGGAGCCTGCTATGGCATCCCTGCCGAGACCACCCGTCGAGAGCACGGCAGAGGGCACGTTAACGACACCCCCACCCCCAACGCAGGCAGCTTCACGAGGGAGAAGTAGCAACCAGTCCCTCCTGAAAAAAATCACCTCTCTATCCCAAAGGCGAAAGGACAGACAGCAAGTTTCCCAAGAAGGTAACAGTCAGAATGTATTTCTTTTCAAGACACTGACATGGGACTCTTTATTTTATAAAGGTTTAGCCTCTCTGTCTACTAACTGCAGATCAAATTTGCAGCAAGCTCTGGAAGACCACAAATCGGTGTATTTTACTGCAGAAAGAAATCAGCTCCATGGCAATTGGTACGAAGCGAGCCTGGTGTACTCTGGCTCTGGATTCCTTTGGCTCTGGATTCCTCCTGCTCGACTCTGAACTCTTACTGAAGTTTCTCACCCTTTGTAATACCTAATGTGCCTCATTCTCCCCAGCCTTCTACTCAGCTGGCACAACACTTAACACTTCTTTCCACAAAACTTTAGAGTCTGATTATCTTCGAGATCTCTATTATTTAGCCCAGCACAGTAAAAATTGACTAGTTAGCCAAACTAACCCAGGGATGATGGAGAAGGGGGAAAAGGGGAACCACAGATGGGTAAACACGTAATCCAGGCATGATCACTAATGCCTCATTTCCTGGGAAATGAGATTAAAGTTTGCGAAAAGATTTCACTCCAACTTTTGCTTTACATACTGCCATGTTTCAGTCCAAGGCCCACTGACTTCTTGGAAAGTCTTCTGGGAGCTTTCAGCAGGGATCAAAACCTAAGCCCTTCTGCCCTTGTGCACTTCTAAAGGTTTCTCTTTAGATGTCAGTCTTGTTTCAAGAAGTGTGACGGGTTCCAGTGACCTGAAACATGGTCCCAAATGACGTACCAGCTTAACTTTAAACTTATAAGCAATTCTTTTTGTTCTAGTTGGACTTCTCACAGTCCAGAAGAAAAAACGTGTAAGTGGCTTGTTAGATCAAGATCTCAGCCAGGTTCTCTGAAAAGACACATTGAAAAGCCATGGACACAAGAGTCACAGTATTTATACAACCTCTCCTTAGAAATGTCAGGAAATGATATTTTATGATACTGTGACATATCATGAGAATATGGAATTTAAGATACAAAAGCACAATTCAACATGAAGAAAACTAATATATGTACCAAGTTACTTTTTAGAGAACCTATTTTCTACTAAATTTCAATCAACTTGACTGATCAGAGACCTAAAACATACTACACCGAACAGATAAGCCAGGACCTGCTCTGTTTCTGAGGCATCTTGAATTACAGCTATTCACAATGTCACTCGTACTGTATAATTAATGATTATTATTTCAAAGTCCATTAACTGATCATTGATTTACACAGTTAACTTTACATAGGTGTAGCCTAAAAAAATAAATCTGAAAGACACTACTCAGATTTCTCTATAGGTAATTGCAACATAATGCAATGATGCAGAAGTGCCCAGGGCACATAAAACCAAACACTGAAGCAAAGGTTTTCAATGCTGAACTGTGCTTCCAGATTTTTATGGTACATAATCCTCTAATTATTACTTTTCTAACAAAAATAATACATATAAAAATATAAAAAAATATGTTTCTCATTTCTAACATGGGAAATGAGAAAAGTACTACCCAGATACACTTTGCAAGAAACAGAGCATGGATTTTTAGGGTTTGGGCAGATCATTTGTTTTGATTAAAGATATCTTGAGTACAAGAGTTCATTATTCACATACCTGTTTTTGATGTGGTAATATATTGCAAGAGCTACACTGTAAAGAAAAATACAGAGTTAATATCTCAGGACTGCTAAATTATATTATTTGTCATATTAACATGCAACTTTAAAAACTAGCACAATGCATGACAAAAAGGATGCTCAACAGCCTGTTTTCTCCTGTTCAGTGCTAGATGCCATGAAAACTGCTGTAAATAGACAGTTTAATAATATTTGTTCAGCACACTTCGAGGGCCTCTTTTTCACTAGTAATGAAGTAACTTACAAAAATTTTCATACTCCACATACCAAGTTGCACATATCTTCCATTTAATGCCCTACTTCACTGAAGTCAAAGACAGAACTCCCACTGACTTCCAAGGTTGAAGATAAGGCATCACAGGCATTGGACTTTCTCTTTTATTGTTTGCTAATGCTGCCAGGCTAACATGAAATGTTTTAATCACCACTGGGTTATGACTTTATATTTAAATGCACTGACTTTCAGCGGTCTTTCTATGTAGCTACTCAGATACCAGACTCAAATACCAGGCTCCCACAGTTTTATGGCATCAAGTTACTTATTTTAACTCAGGAAAGTTGACTCCCTAAATAACTTGCTGCATTATGCATTTCCCGTGTTCTCAGCCACACACCCAAGTACCCCTGTTTACATTCTGCACAAAGACAAAACGCACCCTTATATTCACAGAAAGCTAAGATTTTCATTACGTATACAACAAACTGGTCTCATTCACATTTGAGTCTGAAGAAAATTAGGACGTGGCTTCTCACGGTTATTCCACAGTTTGCAACTCACAACTCCAGCTTTATCGAAGGACACAAGCGTTACACATGATGGAGTTTTACTGAAGAATGAAGCAGAACCAGCACCCTCCCCTACTTGTTCGAGCAGCAGAAAACCCAGTCAAAACTAAACGGGAAGGAGGAAAGTCTTCACCTATTACATTTGTTGACAATTTCTCTTGTCAGTGATTTACTGTCAGATGCTTACATCTTATACTGATGCAAAATTCCTTCCCTTTCTTCTCCATAAAACGTCTTTTAAAAGAGCCAGTTGGCCACTCTGTATTTTTATGCCAGAATTTTTACATGAAAACTGACATACTGCATGCTAGGAAAACAGTATTTTGGAGGTACTCTATTTAATAGAATTTTAAATTATTTCAGGTTTGTTTGGGTTTTTGGGGGGCATTGTTTTTTGGCTTTTTTTGTTGTGTTTTTTTTTTTTTTTTTTTTGAACAACCATGTCGTGGAAAAGATTATTTCTCAGTTGAAAGGAGATATGTTTTACTAACTTTGTATGAGCATTACAGCTTTTACCAGGCTGCATTAGAAGTTTTTAGATCATAAACGCTTTTAAAAATTAATTATTTCTACTGATACTACTTAAGCAATTAAGAGATACCATGTACCATGGACATTTAAAAGGCAGAGTCCTCACTGAACACAAAAACCACATTTATGAATGAATTTGACTGAAAGCCATTCACAAAATGAATTAGTCCCAAAATTTAATTTAAAATTGTGCCCCTAGGAACACACTTGCAGCTTTCATGCAAGTTGACTTTATGAAAACGAATGCAAGAATCTATGTGCAGAGCTCTGCTTGGTGCCCATATGGTTGCTTTTGTAACAAATTTCAAATTAAGTTTAGGAAAATGTTTACTATTCAGAAATCTGTCTCAGAACCTGAAGGTCTTTCAGAGCTGTGATAGATTAACTGGGATCCAAGTTTCATTCTGCTTTTCACCCGTGGGCTCAGCGAGCACTCGGTGTGCAGGAAAGCAGCTTACGGAGCTTTCCGTGCCCCTCCCTGGGCACCCCACCGATGCTGCACATCTCCAGGAGATGTGCTCGTATTTCAAACACGCTGGTGCATAACACACACTCATAGAATCACGGAGGTTGGAAAACACTTCTAAGATCGTTCAGTTCAACCATCAACCCAGCACCACATGACCCAGAAGAAACAAATGAACTGGCCAAAGTACATCCCTCATAGATTTACCTATGTGCAACCGTCATTTATCTGCAGAGACTGCCAGGACAGGGGCAAGAAATGAAGCTGTACTACAAAAGCAACAATCCTGCCATCTCCCCACCCTTAAAGCTGTCAAAGGCTCAGCCAGACAGAAGTGAAGGAAAGGACTCCTCACTCAGAGGCCTCACGTGCCAGAGTCCAGCTCCTCACCTCACACCACCCCTTCTCAAACCTTCTGACCCCTCGCAGCTCCCAGACCTCCCCACACCGGCAGCCTGGCCCCGGCCCCACACAATTCCACCTCCTCACCCCACGTCACCCCTCTCCAAATCCTCTGACCCCACGCCACAGCCCCAGCCCCGCAGGATTCCTCCCACCCGCACCCAATGCCGGCTCTTCCCAGCTGACCGTCCCCTCCTCCCCGCAGCTCCGCCCCCCCTTGCTCCCCACATCCGCCCCAGGCATCACCGCCTCGCTCCCCCAGCTCGTCTCCCTCTGCTCTTTCACACGGCTGCTGCTGGCCATCGCAGCCCCCGAAAACGCTTCTCAGCTGCTGCCGCCAGCTGAACCCGAAACCCACCCAAAAGGCTACACTTACAAAAATCTGCACGCAAAGGATTTTAGAGCCGAAGAGTATGAGATTCCAGGAGGAAAAAAAAATCTCAAAAACTAATAACTTTTTTCCCTGTGTTCATCAGAATTATTTTTAAGTTACTAATTAAAGAAACTTGAGGAAAAGACTGTATTCCAGGCAGAAATAGCAGATGAGGAATTAGGTGTCAGTCTGACTGCAAATCCCTTCTCCGCTCCACTCTTTTTTTCTTAAACAACACTCTTTTTTCCTTAAAAAACATGTTTTAGTGACCACCAACATTACAAACTCCTTCAGATGTGTTAGTCTGAATGTATTTCTCTCTCAGGTAAGTATCTTTGTAGCACAGATTTTGTCTGACTGAATTTTTGCATTTGAGTACACCGAAGTAACTATCCTACAAACAACTCCTGGGCGTACATCAGCAAACTTAACAAACAGCATAAAATGCCTGAACAGTTGTTCGCTCATTTTTTTCCCTTACTGTACAAAATGTAAAGAACAATACTATATAAATATCAATTCCATTTCTCTCCACATGCAAAAAGGCACCAGTGAAACCTGAGACGGTCACCTGAGACACCAGCCAAGGGTAGGCCCAGGGGCACACCACATACAAAGCTCCCCGCTGCGGTGTAACAAAACTGCCAGCACCCTTGTACTCAGTAAGGAAATTGATCTGGAGGCAATTAATTCCATTTCAAACAGAAAACTGGAGGGAAAGCTTAGCAGATGAGCATTCGCACATGAACAGAACAGAGCTCTTCAATTTCAGACAATTCTGAAATTGTGAATAAACAAGCACCCAAGTAAGCTTTGAGGACTCATCCAAAGCAAGTACCCTGTTGAATGCTGAAGCACAAGGATTTCAGTTGATGGAATCTGAGATCCTTAATTGTTGCTTTCTGTCAAGATATACGGTATTGGAAGGTCGATTCCACATGGACCTAAAATAAGAGTAATATACTTTGCTCATCCTATTCATGGTCTCTGGAGCATGGTTGGTTTAAATAAATTTAATACTTCAAAAACTAAAACCTTTGAAGCTTTCTTAGTCATGGTGCAGAGATATGTATACATAAATACATATATATAATGTAGGTTCTAGCAAAAAAGATGTATTACAAAACCCACCATTTGATGGTATACTTGAGGTTTGGTTGACTGACTGTGCTGTCATCCAGGAAAATCGTGGAGCAGGAACTGTACTTCCTTCTCAGCTGCCCAGGAGGATGCTATGAAAAACATGCAAAAGAACAATGGCAATTATGTAAGACCAAAGCATTTTTCTGAGGAGATGTAAGAATTTGGAAAAAAAAAATTTCTCTGTCTCTCATAATGACGCACACAGTAATGTGATCATCTTTTGAAGCAGTTCAGAAAGTTTAGAAATAATTACCAATGCAAAAGTCACAACAATTCCTGTCTGAGCCTTGACTAATGCTTTTAAGTCCAAATGTCCCCTCCATCCCTCCTTCCCCAAAATCATGCAAGAATTTTTTCTGCAGAATTACTCAAATACATACATACATGTGGAAAGCAAAGATGAACAAGATCTATATTTCTGTCCTCGTTCCAGAAAATAAGTGGAAGAGTGAAAAAGAAATCACGAGAACAATACAGACTGATTTAGAAACCGATACAATACTGTGCTTGGAGAAAAGAGAATTAAAAAAAAAGACCCCAAACCCCAAAACAAAAACCCAAAGCCTAATACACTGAAGTAGGGGAAAGAGGTCTGTACAGTAAAATTACTAAAACCTCTAAAAATTAATAGGGAAAATTCAGACAAAATTAATTCATCAAGAATAGTTTGTTATTAAACAGGAAGAAAACTGATCAAACGATGTAAGAGAAAGTGGATATGCAAATAAAAAAGAAATATTATCTCTTAATAGAAAAAGTTTTCAACAGTTTTCGACCCTATTTCTGCACTACCATAGGAAAACATTGGAAAGCTCAGCCACAAAATGACATTTGACAACACTACTTATTTCTGAAGATTTTCTGTTGAGATGACTTGTCCTTCAGCGGTCTGGAGCAGCCAGCACTCCACCGGTCTAAAGAGAACAGTTCTGTTACACCAGCTAACAGCTGTCACAGTCATTAATGCTCTTTGATTGTATCCTTGCTTATTCTACCTACGTTAGTGAATAACTCAACCAAGAACCTGTGTCAGGGAAATTAAGGCCAGTCAAATGACACGTTTAACTTCCAACAGAATAGGTTTAAAATTCAGTTGGCAGAGCGACATGGAAATTTCCATTTGCCTTACAATGAATGTTGTTTCCAGTGCTTCAGCAGAGAGACCAATGTCAATCCCATCGGTGGAACCCACAGGCATTTACCAGCTCAGAGCAACCGAGCGTCTAGGCTACGGTCCTGTGACTTCTACCTCAGTACACCTTCCCCTGCCTAATTTCCAAAACGAATATTACTACAAGGGCCAGCACTCCATCATCTCACTAACGTTTTGTTTTCCACAGGCAGCAGACTTCTGGGCAGCATTCATTAGATACAGAACAGACAGACTCCTGGTAAAACCTACAAGCATCTGAGTCATATTTCTGTTTTTCCTAGCTATGAGTGAACGCATTCAAAGTCTTGTTAATTGAAAAAAAAAATCACTTTCTGAAGCCTTTATAATCGTAGAAACATCATGTTCAAATGATTTGAAAGGTCACCAACAAATTCTATCAAGGTCCCTCACTTGACCAATAAAATCATAGGCTGAACTGCTTTTCTTGGAAGTGAAGAAGTTTACCGAGAAAATTAAAATTATCCCCTCTCAAAAATTCTTCAGGAGTTTGGACAGGTACTTCATCATACTTTGGAATCTCACAATCCATCTACCTTCCAAGCTATTGTATGTTAAGCATAGCTACAAACTGAAAATTTAGAAGCACTGGAAACAGTAATGCCAGAAAATGTATTATCTAGCATTGATGTATACAGGGAGAATCACTAAGGGATTGGTGATTTATAGCTTTTACTCTACCCCGGTTTAGTTCAAATTTCTGGATTAGTCTGTTGAGTACCTTCCACAGGCACGATAAAGGCAAAAGCAACTTAAAACCAGCTGAAAGTGAGATTGTTTAGTGGTTGAAAAAAGGGAGAGGTACATACACTCCAGCATCATTGAAGAAAAAAAAAAAACAGTGGACAGAAAGTTTTAATTCTACATTTTAAGTGTCAACATGTTTTAAAGGTTTAGATAAAATTTAACATAAATGTACTGGATTCATTCAAGGCAAACACAAGTGAAAAAACAGAAAACACCTCTGTAGCGACACCACTATCAGATTTAAATTTTCTTACGTAAACAGCACTCTAACATTTGATACATGTCAATAATTAGAGCCACGCACCTTACTTCTGAAACTACCACACCACAGAACTCTCCACGGTTTTCAGCCCACATCACACTTTGTTAGGCTTAGAACTTTTCACACTTCAGCAACATACGTGGTGTCTCATGCCTCCCTTTCTGTTCATACCAACTTGGCAGGAAGGGGCACCTCTCCCAGTCTGAAGAACGGTGCCAAGTGTAAACCTACTATCTTGGGTGTATATACACATTTGTGCCGTGGGAATAACTAACCTATCGGTAGATCAGTGTTCCCAGCTTCTACTCTGACGTCCAACTGCAGCCATATGGTATGCTAGGTAACAGATCTTCCAGTAATTTGGAGAAACAGAAAACACCCTTAGTTTCATATTCTAGCTTGACAAAGCTGGAGGACATCTGAAGTCCCACAGATCAATCATATCGGCTTTTCTGAACCTCCATAAAATGCTGCACAGGAACCTTTGCCATCCTTGCAAAGGACTGAAGAGGTTACTGAGCATCACCTCAGTATTCAGCACTGTCCTATGGAGAAATCCCCTTCTGTGTCCTCTTCAATGCACTAAGTCCAAAATGGTATAGGAGCTTAATGCTTTCACATTTGAAATCCACCACAGCTGACCACAAAAATCTTCCCTTTAGACAAGTCAGAGTGGCTCTAAGCGAGAAGAAAATCAGAAGAGCTGAGAAAGAATACAGAGCCTTTGAAGAAATTAGCCAAACCCTCTAACATTAATGGGATCCTTCTCAGGTTCTGTCCCACCATTAAGGCTGACATAGAGGAAAGCAAGGACTGGTATAACTCCTTTTGCAAACAGAATTATAGAATCATAAAGGTTGGAAAAGACCTCTAAGATCAACAAGCCCAACCGTCAACCCATCACCACCATGCCTATTGTATCTTCATATGCAAACATGACAGTGAGCACAGAACACATGCGGAGTCTTGACAATCTCTGCTATTACAAATATCTACAAATTAAAAGCACCTCATTCACATGAAGAGGGATTCACTTTATATGTACTTCACCTTGCGGAAGTAATGTTTTTGTACCCAAGCTGAGCTTCAGTAGATGTCATGCTTCTCAACTTCAGGAAGACTTCTGACGTCATCTCGCATAAAATTCCCAAAAGGGAAACCAAGGAAAACATGGCAGGTAAAAACTACTTGGAAAATTATATTCTGGTTTCCTAAGGACCACCTTCAAATTGGAAGGGACACTCCACAGAGGTCTGATCTACTCAATGTAAAATATTGAGCAATAACTTTGACAACAGAATGAAGGTATTTTTTACTGAATTGGCAGCTGGCACTAACTTGCAGAGGACTCTATTATAAAAAAAGGAAAACACCATATAGGATTTATAGAGTTACCATGTACACAGCAGGGTAGAGCAGTCTTCCACCCTGCTCAGCTGGAATTTTACGTGCAGTTTTGACCACTGTATTTCAAGAAAGATGAACTGATTTCAAAGACTCGGGAGCAGAGAGCAGCAAGATTAATCAGAGGTTTGAAAAACCTGATTTAGAAGGCAAAACTGCAAGACTGCAGAGGTTTTCTCTACGAACAAAGCAACAATAATGGTCTTAAGTCATGCTGAAGGGAGTTCCAAACAAGAGAATGTTGTTCTCCATGACCATTCCAGATGAGCTACAAAAGAGCGGGCTGATACTGAACTAGGGAAAATTAAAATTGGACATGGAAGTGTGAGAGGAGACAACAGCAAAAAACCCACGCCAAATCACCTTTTTCTAACAGCAAGGATAGCTTGAGTGACTTGAGCAGTGATAGAATCTCCATCACTGAAAGTTGTAAAGAAGAGGTAAAGCAAACACAGGCCGGGAATAGCTTAGATGCAGGATTCTGCTTTTAGGCAAGAAACCAGACTGAACAACCTGGACCAGTTTTCTACCATTTTGTGATTTCTTTCGGTGGAGGGGATTTGCAGCTCTTTAATCCAGAAGCAGTTGTTATTTTTCACATTTCTTCCAAAGACATTCATTAAGAAATGCAGACATTACAGGTTACAATAAATACATAATAGCTGTTTTGTTGAATTTCTGTCTTTACAGGAAAAGACGTATAATGGAAAAAAACTGCTTTATAACTTGCTAAGCTCTTACATGTGTTACAGAACAAGCTCTAAGAGATCAAGATTCAACATACTTCAATCAATGCCAGGTTTTTCTAGCTCTTAAAACCAGCAGTTTTTCCCTCTTGCACAGCTAGTACTAAGGAAATACCACCGCTTTATTCTTCTCCCAGCTTCACCCTGAAACTTTCCAACTTTCCAAATCATGTTTAAGATGACTGAACAACAGGATTAACTTGAAGTTTACATGAAATACATCTTGTCACTAACAGAATGACTTAGTTTGCCATCAAAATCATACAAGCTCTGTACAACTGCTTTTATGTGCCTGCTATGAAAGCAATCACAACAAATCCCTTACTAAACATCACAATGAGAATACACAAAGGGATGAACTTTTCTCAGCCTTCATTTTAGCATCACTCAGAAATTCAACCTAAATTTGTGGGGAAATTGGAAGTGTTGCTATTTCTTTTGTTAAAATAGTCACTTTGGGGTGTTTTTGGGAAGAAACATCTAACAGGCGGATGCATACTGACCAAAACCCACACTCCGAATTGACCAGAAAGAGCACCAGCCCGCTCTGTCCTGGAAGCTCTTTAGCAACACCAGTACGGCACGCTGCCCTGAGGCTCAGCAGGATTTGCTCGTTTGGGTGCAACCCTTCCCTAACGAAGCTGTACAGCTTTTGTACCAGAGCTGGCCGTCAGCCACTCAGCTCCCAGTTTGGCAGATGAGCTTCAGCCTTTTGAAGCGTTCTTCTGCACTTGTCCATCAAAAGATAATTTGCAGCTT